TGTGACAAGGCGTCCATCTCCGTGTTCTTCGCCTTGGCGACAGCAGCCTTAGCGAGCCTCTTGCAACTCTTGTAGGTAGCGAGGTCTTCGGGGCTCCGGGTCTTCTGCCAGCGCTTGTATGCTTCCTTCTTCTGCTTCACGACTCGCTGGACCTCCTCGTTCCAGAACCACGCTGCCTTGTCTCCTCTGAATCCACCTCGCGTCTCGCCCAGTACCTCCTTGGCACATCGCAGGATGGTCTCAGCCGCGTTGCCCCAAGTCCGCTGTACTGGCCCGTTAGGATCTGGGAGACCGACTTCCATTATCTTCGCCTTGAGGTCACTCTTCTCCGCTTGGTGCAGCTTCCACCACCGGATTCTCCTCTCGGTTCTTACCCTTGTCTTCTTGGGGAGGTCTATGGCAATGTCTGCCAGGAGGGGCCTGTGCTGGGGAGCCAGTCTTCGCCAGGGAGAACCTTGATATCCTTCACAGTTTTGAGGGATGATCTTCTTACCAGCACATGGTCGATTTCCGTCTGTCTCCCTCCACTGCTGTAGGTTACCTTTTGAGTCTCCCTTTTCGCGAAGAACGTGCTGCAGACTTGCCAGATCGTGGGCTGTAGCCAGGTCCAGAACCCTCTCTCCCTCAGCGTTCCTCGTTCCTATCCCTCTACCTCCGTGCACCCTTTCTAGGCCTCTTCTGTCACTGCCGACGTGACCATTCAGATCACCTGCTATGGTCAGGTAATCGCCTTCCGGAATCGATCTTATGGCTTCGTCCAGGCTCAGATAGAACTCGTCCTTCTCACTTTCGGGGCATCCGGCTTGCGGTGCGTACACGGAGAGTATGGTCCAGTACCCCTCCTTCGTGTCTATCCTCACAGCCATGATCCGATCGCTGATCCTGTTCACAGCGGAGACATAGTCCTTGAGCGACTCCGCTACCGCTATGGCCACGCCGTTCCGCTTGGTGTCTTCTCCATTGTAGTAGAGCTTGACACCTTCCCCGATTTCCCTGGCCTTAGCACCTTTCCATCGCGTCTCCTGAAGGCATAGGACTTGGATATTCCTGCGCGTCATCAGATCAGCAACCTCTCGGGACTTCCCAGTTAGCGATCCTACGTTCAGAGTCCCAATTCGAACTAGCTTCTTTGGCCGAGGCCGTTCACTCCTCGGTAGCCCTCGCATACTGACCACAGAACTCGGGCGGGGGTTCTGCGCGCCACTTCCGGGTGACGTCCTAGCTTTATCACTGATTCTTTTTCGACTTTTAGACATGTTTGGTGTGACTGGGGTCTTCATCAGCCGGCCTGTCAACCTGGGCCTGACGCTGGTACTAGAACCATTTTTGCAATTTTTGCAAGGCATGGTTAACCTCGGCAGGGATCGAACTCGCGGTTTTCAGAGGTGCAGACATGAGTCTAACCTCTTAACCACTCGGCTATCCCTGCCTCAGAACTTTTACAATTGTACCTTCTAATAAGTTTACCACATCGAATATCATTGAAAACATTTTGTGCATCCAAGTTTTGCGTATTTAAAGCTCAAAATCACGGATTTGATGTGAGGCGGCGGCGCTCGCAAAATCGCTCTGGTCCCACGCGGCCAAAAAACCAAAACGCGCGATGTCGTCAACGTGTTAATAAAGGTGTCCTCTCATGGGTAGAGGTGCTATGTACATAGGTCTGCCGTTGCAGTGGCCGTACACTTTTCGTTCTCTGAGCGCATCACTAAGGTGCTTGATGCTTAGGAAGTGAAGCCCCCAACACCCAAAAGAGTCCATGCCCGCCCACCCTATATCTTGTCTTGGTCATAATGTTGATAAGGAATATATCATTTAGCTTTCTTTTTTCACGCTGGCGCCAACTTGCATAGTCCATGTACGCAAGTTTACCTTTTCAAAATTCGGTGATGCCAGGTGATGCGCCAAATACAAGTGTCATAGTGTCGTGATTAGAATAATCAATAACGCATAAGGAAGTGACAACGAAATAAATTACCTATTTTTCGCGATTCACCACATTTTGCAAAGGGACATGTTATGTTATGCATAGCTTCCGCTGGCTTAGTCGTACGCTATCCTTTTTCCAAAAGGGGCTTCCCTCCGCTGATGCTCTCCTTCCCTAGAAGGCATGCTTTCGGTGTGGAACCTGCCATTGACAGGGGGTGATGTAGCGACCCTTTACTACGTATTTGGAGAGTCTTATTCTCTGGGCCAACGCGCTACTCTAGCTGTCATTAAGGAGAGAAGGCAGAGGATAGGTGGTCTTGTGACGCAACCTCGTGTCTCCAAGCAGGAAGGTCCCTCAGGAGTGTAAAACTGTTTCGAAACGGTCTCTTGCATGATATAGGGATACATGTGGGAACTACATGGTTATGTTAATTTCCCGTGAACGGCTCTCTGAATACCAAAAAAGGGGGTCCCTAGTTCGATTCCTCGTGGTGACAAATTTTTGCATTTCGAGTTGACGTTCCAAAATTCGCGCAAAATGGAGTTAGCATGAATAATTAGTACCATATTCATGATTAGGACCGTCAGTAACCCTTACAAATAGACTTTGATTAAAAAACTGGTGAAAAAGGTGCAACACTAAAACGCCTTGGTTTCACAACTTTTACGAATTTTTTTTTCAAAGTCAATTTTCAAGAAAAACGGCCCTCTAACGCTTGGCACCCCTTGAAAGTCCTTTCTGGTAAGAAAGCATCGGAGGAGGGTGACGCGTTTCATTGGGGAAGAGTAGCATCCGACATCTGGTTGCAAATGGGTTAAACTAGAGGGACCTCAAAAGTTAGGTAAAGAACTCCTACAAACTTAACAGTGTGCCAACCCAAAATTGCAGCCCGCTTCTCATATGCGTCCCATATAGATGATAGCGACAACCTAAAACATGTAAATTCGCACTGCCGAAGAGGTTAAGCTCGTTGAGAAAACTGTTCTTAATGTAAGGTTTATTACAGCGAATTAATCAATGGAGGAAACATATCACAAAGAAATGGCTTGTGCAAAGAAGCGGCTACATAAGTGAGATGAAAGAGGACTTAAATAAAATTAATGGAAACGTCACATCAAAAACAAGAATTGTTGTAATCTTTCCTATGATCTTCAGCGGAACTCTTTGATATGTAAGCGTTCACATAGAATTACTCGGCAAGTTAGAATCACTTTAGCTACACAAAATAAAAGTATAACTTAATCAATATTAAGAATTTTCCTAGATCTTTGTCTCGTTCCTTGAGCTGCTCGACGCTGACGTTGCGGAACTGTGCGACTTCTTCGAAGACGAGCTTTTGGAAGAAGCGGTTCCTGACGAGGACGAAGTGGAAGACGAAACAGACTTTGGGGATTGCTTTTTGCCTTCCGAGGTCTCTTCTTCACTTTCGAAATCACCGCTACCGTAATCCTATAACAGGATAGTATTTACATTTCGCCATATCACAAAAGGTGCGTTGTGGCTGCAGTAAATTTGCGTTAAGCTTCTTTCGAACATGAAGAGCTGATCACCTAGCGATTCTAGCTTCGGGACAATTGTTTTAGGGGAAGATCCCACGATGTGATCTCTCAGAAGTTTTACGAATGATTCGGTCAAATACTAAAATTAAGGTCAGGCGTTAAACTTTATTCAAGACACATATTCTGCCGCTTTCGAATTAAAGGCAATCGGAACGATGGCTGAGGGGCGGGGCGATTTTGATGACGTCATTGGGCCTCATCAGGTGGGCTGACGCTGGAAGGTGCTTCCGACCAGACCTTAGCACACCTTCACTAGTGGTAACCAACGACTTCATCAAAACCGCTCCACCGCATCACTGTCTTTGAGTGGCGTCTATCTACCACGCTTATTTATTGATTCTAAACAGAAGGTTACAGGGATAAAAATCCATGGCAAATTTCATCGTAGTATGTATGTGTATAGTAACTCTCACCTTTGTTATTGCAGGTATGTTTAGTTACATTCTGACAATTTTGAAAGCATTCACATTTGCTTAGTCAAAAATCCATCTTGTGGATAACGAATGTGAAAGTAGCGCTACAATCTCCATTTGTACCGGCCATTAATACGCATTCTGCTATAGTTTACTTTACCACAATCGGAGCTATCTTTTTTTTCTGAATAGAACGGGGAATTTACTCATTCAATACATACGGCGTCATTCTCTTTTTTCTCTCTTGGAACGAGCGCTTCTGCGAGCGCCTTTAGCGTTTGCATCCGTGGGTTTTATGTAATGAGTAAAGAAAAACTAGATATTACAAAATTATTTTTAGCAATGGTCACTACGTCAATACGGGAGGGGGGGGAAGTATGGTGGGATTTGACAAAAGGACGTGTAATGCAATATATCTCAATACGTGAAATTTTGCTTTTATTTCTTCTACTCTTTTTATTAACGTATTCATGGCAATAGCAGGAACATAGAAATCAAGCCAGCACAAATTTGTACGACTCAAAAACGCCCCTCAAGTAAAGCGTGCTGAATATCACCGTGAGCATTTCGAGTGAACCATTCATTAGACCCTAGTTTTTTGCTGATACCAGAAATATCCAAAAGGTAAGGTGCAAGCAGATTACCGCTGGCAGGCCATGTAGGCCGTCATCGCCCCGGCAACATTAAGTTCTGCAGCCTATGTGGGCTGCCCGGGTCTTTGTTACACTGGCTACTATGTCTGAAATGCTAAGAATTGGCCTCCCCCTCTTGATTCATTGTCTCTTGAGATTGCAGATGAAAGACCGTTCCCATATGGGTGGACCCCGGGTTTTTTTGTTTTTAACAAGAAAGAAGACGAGCAACTAACGTTTCCACCTACAATCCGCCTGCTCCTTAGATTCACTGAATAGGTTGCACCAGAGACATCGGAATCACGAACGTTCATTAGCGTTCGCTCGACTTTTCGACGAACCCTGTACGAAAAATAAAGCACTCCAAATGATACGAATCTACTGAAAGCCATACCTTGCCAACAGCCGCCAATCTTTCCTCGTATTTTCGAGTGAATTTCTGTTTTTGAGCAATGATTGATTGCTGTTCCATGATTAGGGGCCTCTCGATCACCCTGTATTATAGAGCTTGAGACATTGTACTACAAACAATTGGTGAACGAATTGGAAGATACCTCTGCTGCATCTCTATTAAAAACTTCTCGTAGTCTCTCGTGCTTTCCGCTGCATGTTTGCTGCAAAAGGATAAAATTTAATAGGAATTTCGAGGAGAAAATTGAAAGCCAATAGTAAAACAAATGTACCGAAAAAGTGAGCAGGTTTGTATCGCTTCGCTGTTAAACATCAATAGCCTTGTCGAACTTCCCTTATCATATTTTGATATGATGGTTTTAAGATTCCCACTTTACAGCAAATTAAAACGTCCTGTATGAAGCGCTATATCTGTTTGTTTGCTTCTTCTGTGCAAGTTTAAAAGCTCTGTTTCCCACTACCCGCATCCCTAAGTTTGCATTTTTCAGGCGCTCGTCAAGTTCAGTTTTTTAAGATTTTGTGTGTTGCGTTGGTGTTGTCCAAAAAAGCCGTAGCTTCAGTTCGCATTTTTCTCCTTCTCATCAAATCAAATATACTTTTGTCTACTCGCCATGGCATTAAACGAGGATTCCACAATAAGGTCGAAGGTGAAAGAAGGAAATAAATCCGCTGTGCAAGACCCAAAGAGTTGCGGACCGGGCCACGGAATCGTAGCAAAGAACTTTGGTCCCCGATGGTCCTAATATGTCTTCGCGCAACGGTAAATGGCGCGGCACCCCAACAAGCGCTCCTCCCATTGCCGCGGATCTATCTTTGTGAGAGCCCTTATGGCGTTGAAGAGTGGCAGCACCGATGAGAGTCGCATCGGTGCGGAAATCCGACGAACAAAGGTAGGGTCGCTGAAGGATCATGTTTTGTAGCCAACATGGTTTTTTTCTAATCTTGCAGCACAGACCACTTTCGCTTGATTTTTATTGGGCTGCCTTTCTATTCGCAAAAAATCGTCCGCCTTTGAGTGAACAACCATTAGAAGCCGGGTTTTGGGTTGAGATGGATGGGCTCACAGCATAAAATAGCAAGAAAAAAAATCTCAGATCGTCATGGTCAAGATAAAGTAGTGATATCCTAAGTGCCGATTGAGCTAGCTGATTACAAGTCTCCTTTCTAAATCTGCTAACTGTTTTTTTTTTCGATGCCCAAGAGGTTTTTGTTGATAGAATTCATAAAATAGCCTATACTTATAGGTACAAGGAGCCTTTAGGGAAATCGTAATACTTCTAGAACTTATTTCCCCATGATGGCGCCCGTAGCGCATGTGCGAGGTGTTTCTGCGAGAAACAGGTGTAGACTTCCCAAAATTGAGTCTTATACTTGACCCTTGGGAAAACTGGGGGGGGGTTGGGATAATCATGCATTATCTCATGTCTTGACTGATTCAGTGGTAAGTTGAACGAACACAGTCACTAGCCTACAGGGATACGGTCAAATGAAACCCACATTTTCCAGCTGTCTTCCTTTAACTCTTCGCTCGCATTAGCTGGATTGACGACATCAGCTTCAGCCGACTAAGATCCATCTCATCTCTTCTATCTTCCCAGAACTTTTCAGATCGATGACGTTCTACGCTGAGCATCTCCTACGACGCTGCCTGAACTAGCCTTTTCTTCTTTCCAGCAGGACCGGCTTTTGATTGCGTCTCGGTCTTCCGAGACATTTGGTTTATCTTCAACAATTTTGCTATTCAAATACACTGGTGTGCAAAACTTAAGGACGAGATAGATGAAGTATCATAAACCTTTTGATAGCTTTGTGGACCGTTTAACGGTTCCTGTTAACTGCTTTCTTTAGTGCCCTGTGATAGCTGTTTGCCACGTGTGGTTAGGTTCCTTATAGTCATGTTACGCGCCAGTAACACGTCGTTGGAAATGCTTACGTTCGTCCCTAAGTTTTTGGGGCAAACACAGTGTATATCCCACCTGATAGCTTCCTTTCTGATCGTTGACGAGTGCGTCGGTCGGATGGCGACATCTCCCCTTGACATTCTCCTTATGCTTTGGGCTCGCCAACGTGGCGGTGATGACGATTTGCACTACAATGCGATCGACTCCTTTACCAAACTCATCATCCCAAGAGTAAAAAGGGCGGCCAAAATAATCGAACGAAGACTAATTTTTTACCTGACGATGATGATATGCTTTTGGATCGGTTAAGTGAAATGGTCGTGGTACGGTTGTGGCTTTATGAGGAGCGCTTTTGAGGGCGTTCTCCATCTGCAGAATTGTCAGTAATTAATCGTTCCTTCCCGCCGATCTTCATCAGGATTGATGCACTACGATGACCCTACAGTCAGAATTTTCAAAAGACTAGTAGATTACTTCTCACAAAGGTGATGCTTCTGTAGAGGCAGCCAGCTCAGGTTATCAATGACTTCAACTCTAAAAGCCCCTGCCGATTCGAATGTTTCATACTGTGAGACTGATATGATATTCCAGTAAGCATTTTCAATTTTTAGAAAAAAATAAACTAAAACGCGGACGCCCTTTATCGGTCTTCCTTTTTGGAGACGAGCTCGTCGTTCCCAAGAGAATTTCGGGGAACTTATGATCTAATCACGTAATTCTCTGTCCCTCTACGCCTTCCGATTGAGAGTGCATTCCACATCACATGAAAATGAAGTAATTGCACTCAAAAAACGAGTGTTGTATGAGATCTTTCGAAGTGACAGCTACATTTAACCCATTGCGGACCGCCGTTATAATTGCATCTCCGTAGGTTTTTGTCATCTCTTTTATCAGTGGCCAATAATCTATCAAAAATTTAATAAGTATGCAAATAAGTGATATATCCTGTGTCCGAAAAAGTAAAGTGTTGATTTTGTAACTTAGCAAAATGCCTAAAAAATCGAAGATTACTATCCTTCTCCGCGTGGTGGCGTGCTGGTGCAGCACGCGGTCCGCAATGGGTTAAGAAATAACTGAAATGGAAGGCCTCCTTAATTCTGTGTGGTAAATAACACCAGACATCCAAAGGAACAGGTCATCTAGAGACAACGTCGCAGACCGAAAATGGTCGCAATAATAAGAGCACCATGGGACATGTGGACACGCCAGTTAACCGCAGTACTTTGGGCTAACAATGTCCGCATTGGAGCCCTGCGTTGATACAGTAAAAACACTACCAATTTAGCCATGGGCGATTTTACTATCCTGAGGCAATGTATTCACAGAAGAAGAGACCACTCAAAGTGTTCGTGCACCGTAGTTTCAAAGGCAGGTAGTGTGACGAAATGATGTTGATGGAGGAAAATATTTCTGCTGTACTTGGAGGTTAGGACCCCAAGTACAGTACGGAGCGCAACATGAGCGGACGAGAGCGTGATCGTAACCCTTTTTGCAACTTAAACTTTCACCATTTAACAGTGCAGACTTGATACGTAGTGACCCCGCCCTCGCGGAAAGTCCCACACTAGCTGGTAGACCCAGCCTATGATTGAGCCCCTAAAATAGGACCCTCCGTCTTATGGTGTGTAATACATAGTTTCGTTACTGAAACAACGGTGCCCTGCAACAAATCAAACCAAAGGCCAACTCTATCTAAAATGCTACCATAAAATAGAGTTGGGAAAAAATCCTCAGTGTCCTTTGTCCCATAATTGCCTTACGGCTTTGAATAGGCAGCTATTTCTCACAGCGAAATATTGCGGCCAGCTGGCAGCCAATTGCCTCCCCTCACTCTTACGCTGTCACTAGACCATATCGCATTATCTCGAAACAATGGCACACCTCTGCGTGCAGCCGTTGGAAATCCGGTATCGGCGGTCGTGGATAGCGTTTCTCCCATTGATCTCTAGACTACTGTGAGTCGAACCTTCGATGACACATGGGTACGGATGGTATGCTCCTGTGAAAATACAATGAATAAAAAAACTTCGAGATATCAAAAAACACAGCGTGTCAGCAACCCAAGCTTGCTCCATAGTGAATAGGTGGATATGGATATAAGTGGATAATCTTGACTAAATCTGAACAGATCACGCAATTTGAAAGTTTGTGGCCCACCCCAGCCGCGACCTAAAGATATCAGTCGTTCGCGGCGTCAACTATGTAGAAGTCGCACAGTTCCGAATATTCCAAAATCTGAATGTTAGTAAGCAACAATGAACTCAGACACGACAATTCTAAACAAATTTCAAAGAGTCACTTCCGATGTAGAAAGTTCTATCTGCAACTCATCACCGTGTGCGGTCGTGTCTTGCTGAGCTCTGGGTCTTGCCTTGCCCGTTCTGGACTGCCTCCTATTTTTCATGATTGGCAGTTGTTCGAATTATTCCATGTCGTCTCTAAGTCTTCCTAGAGCTCCTAGCTATACTTCCCTGACTTAACTGTAATTCATTGCTGTCTATACTATGGCGATCACAGCTACATCGTCACAGATCCGTCATCGTAGCCGGATCAAAAACGATCAAGGCTGATTTGTTCCGCCGAAATGCCCCCGGAACTGCTGAATAGTATGAATCATGTTGTATTCAAGGAAAACGGCCAGAGTTCTATTAAACTGGTAATTGGTATGCTGATCGATGCGAAAAAGGAAATTGCTCGAGCTATCCGTCAGTGCCGGAATGTGATCGCCGAAAACAAGGCTTTGAGGGAGGAAAATTCATCCTTGAAGAGTCAGATTAGTTCGCTGTTGTCTAATAAGTCTACTTTCGATTCGATGCCATCCAACGTACGCCCAGATCCTTCGCAACTGGTCGCCACCACCCCGTCGTCAGTAATCGATCCTGATCTTCCACGCTCAATCGTTATAGCAGGCGTTAAGGAGAGTCGATCTATGCATGCAGTGGATAGGGTTAATTATGACTATCATTGTATCTGTTCATTACTGAACTTTTTGGGAGTTGAGTGTCTACCAGTTACAGTTTATAGAATGGGAGTTCCCAATCCGAATAGACCAAGGTTGATTAAAGTTGTATTACCATCAAGTATTTTTCAACGACAAGCTGTAAGGAGGGCGCCGCGTCTGCGCTTCTTCTCCGAAAAGGGGGTATTCCTCCGCCCCTCACTCACAAAAGAGGAGAGGGAGCGCAGGCGCATAGAGCGTTCGTCCAATATTACTCCAGCTAACGGCAATGGTTTAACTTCTACTGTAGCTTCTCCAGCTGACGCTGTCGTTGTTAATCAGACTTCTGTTCCTAACGATTCGTCTGTGTCAAAGGTCAATGAGGGAAACCTCTGAAAAGTCTTCGGAGCATTGGTATCAGTGCTAAGTGCATGATGTCGAACATTAGGTCATTTACAAAAAATATAAATTTGGCTATCGCTCAGTTACTTCACAGGAATTATGAAAGTCTTTCCTTCGAAACATGTGAAATCCAGCATTGGTGTGTGTTCTCTATTAAGGCGTCGGTGAAATTCCGCAGAGTATTCAACTCAGGTGTGGATGGAAGCCAACATGGAGAGGATAGATTTTGATCAAAAATACAATACCTTTCAATCTAGTTTTTAAGGAGTCAGTTAGGGATGCTTATGAAATCTTGATTGTTGACGCTTTTTTCAATTCAGTTTGCCTTAGACTTATACTAGTCTATCGAACCCCAACCTGTCATGCACTTGAGACTTCGAAGTTACTAAAAGTTATAAGTGATTTCACTTCAAACAATGGTCCCAGCTTAGTGCTTGGAGACTTTAATATGCCTGACATTGATTGGCAGCTTGGAAGTTCAAGCTGTCCACTCTCTAAGGAATTCATAGAAATAGCTAGGTCGCATAAGCTTGTTCAATTAGTAAATGAACCGACCAGAGATAAATCCTGTCTTGACCTCGTGTTTTGCAATTCATGCTCACTTGTTCACGAGCTCAGGGTCCTCCCACCTATAGGCACTAGCGACCATTCAACTATTGAGTTTCAGATCAAGGTTTCGTCAGGGCCCAGTAGAATTCATGAAGCTAAGGATTTCGCGCTAGCTAATTTCAAAGCTATAGGAGATTATCTCTCGGATATTGACTGGATCGGCTCCTTTGGGACCGTCGACTCCGTAAATGATAAGTACGAAATGTTTTTGGCGATTTTGCTGGACACCATTGAAAAGTTTGTTCCCACTCGGAGAATAAAGATTGGGTCTGCCGCGACTTCCTGCATCCCTCCTTGAACGTATGATTTCTCGCCGCAATAGTCTTTGGACCAGCGCCTCTAAATCAAACAGCCAGTCATCGTGGGCTTCATATAAAGCATACACTCAAAAACTTGACAGTCCATTGCCAAATACTATGCAAATTTGGAGGCTAAGTTATAATTCAAAGGACTCTGCAAGATTGTATAGGTACATAAATTTGCGATTGAAAGAAACCAGGACTCTACCCGCGCTCATTGTTAACAATACTTGCTTGGCTGTAAATGACCATGATAAAGCAGAGCTCCTTGCCTCGTAACTTCCAAAGTCCCTTTTCAATCCGGAAGAGCATGAACGTGTGTACCTCCCTCTGCGTTGCCCTGTCATGGAGCTTCAAATATGGTTTCATAGAGATGAGATTTTCGATGTGCTTTCAAATTGGCCTAGCTCGTCCTCTGTTACCCCGGACTGTGTCCCATTCACCTTTATCAAAAAGATTCTTACATATATACTCTATCCTTTGGAGCATCTTTTCAATTTGTCCTATATGAGAGCAGAAGTTCCTAAGCGCTGGAAGCACTCATTGGTCACTCCTGTGCCGAAAAAGCCTCCCTACAATCGCTGTCAAAATTACCGGCCAATCAGTATAACCTCAATTTTTGCTAGGGCATTTGAAAAAATTCTTAAGCGTAGACTTCTGGCCCATTTAGAGAAGTACAACATTATTCCTTGTTCAGCATGGCTTTTGCAAGGGACGCTCAGTTGAAACTGCCCTTCTCACTTCTTTGAATGATTGGACCAAGGCCATGGATGCGAAAAAGGAAGTGCATGTAGTTTACTTTGATTTCGCTAAGGCTTTCGATAAGGTCCCTATTCGATTACTTTTGTGTAAAATGCAGCACGTTGGATTTCATCATAGAGTAATCAACTGGATTGCCTCCTTTTTGCATAACCGTAGCTATCAGGTTCGAGTTGGAAGTGTTTTATCAAGTTCATTTATAGCTCCCAGTGGAGTGCCTCAAGGAGGCGTTCTATCCCCCTTACTGTTTTCAATCTATACGAGTGATTTCCCTAGCACTATTTCTCGATTCGGGGTCTCTTGTATAATGTACGCTGACGATATAAAAATATACAAAGAGATCCAAAATTCGACACATCAAGAAGACCTTCAGGCGGCTATAGACTGCGTCAAAAGTTGGTCTATTGAATGGGGATTGCCGCTTTCACATGAAAACACCAAAGTCTTTTGCCTATAAAAGTAATACAGCT